GAAGTTTGCCCCTCAGGATGCTACCTACCCAGGAACTCCCCCAGAAGAACATCCCTTTGCAAGAAATAAGAGAGAGAAAGAAAGGGAAAGAACACGGAAGTCGTGGATGAGTTGTTGCCCACTGAATTTTTTTTTAAAGCCGAACGGTGATCTACTGTGATACATCCTCCAGAAATGGACATATGTGGCTGAAATATAACATGCCGTTAAGGATTACTCTAATTCAGCACTTCTATGTTTCTGAAGATACTTGTTTAAAAACAAACACTATTGCTGGTGGGGGGGGGGTCCTACTTTAAGCAAGGCATAATGGCAATTTTGCCTGAAGAACGCCGGCCATTCCCAACCCAGCTTCGGTGGGCAACAGCAATCTCCCAGTACAAATGCCTGGCCCTCTTACAAGCATGTGCCCAGATTTCAGTCCAGCAGGTGAAGAAACTCCTCTCTCTCCCCCAGTCTTTCTCTCTGCAGAAAGACTCCAGATCACACATAATTCCTATCTCCGAAATCTAAATTGCAGAAACCGATCTTTTCAGGGATTCCTGGAGCCTGCTTCTCCGGCCTTGCCGGGAGAGCTCTGTTGCATTTGGCCTAGATGAGACAGCCTGCCTGCACCTGTGTGCTTGTCTGCAAGCTCTCCCCAGCTCTGGGTCCTATGTGGTTGTTATTCTACCCCAGACCATTAAAAAGGGCCCTAATTCCTATGACATGATTATCCAGGTACCAAAGCCCATTTGTCACCTGCGGCAGAAAATTGAGTTAAGGCACAACTAAAGGCAGCCAGGACTGTGTAATATCAACTTGATTACATCAAACTAGCTGCAAACCTAATTCTGCTGCATGACACTGCGTCAGGGTTGTCATCTCCAATCATTAAAGCTGTCAGGAATCCATCAGGTTTACAGCTAATTAGGTGAACACTAATGAAGCTGGCAAAACAACTTTTCTTTTTTTCCTTTCTTTTTTTTTTATGGCTGAGCGGACCTTTCAGTTTGGGAGGGGGGAGGGGGCGTGTGTGTGTGTGTGTGTGTGTGTGTGTGTGTGTGTGTGTGTGTGTGTGGATTCTCGAGTATTCTCAAGGTTGCTGTGGACAGGATTTCCAGTCGCCAATCAGCAGACATCCTTTTTTTTTTCCCCCTCCCCCACCGTCTCTCTATCAGGACAAAGCAATCAGTTTGTCATCACTCCCAGTATGTCCCAAAAGCAGCTGTGGGAACTTAAAAAAAATAAAAGGGGGGGTGGGGAGGGAAAGCAGAGAAGTTTGTAGCCCAAACAAGCAAACAGAGCAACACACACTCACTGGCCTGGGCTGGGCGTACTTTATAAGCAGCCTAAGTGTGGAAGGGCTTTCTGTCCTGCACCCCTCCTCCACACGTCCATTAGGCAGAGGCATTCTGATAAAGTAAAACCCAAAACCAGGCTTATGAGGAAAGAATGAAAGCACTCGTTCTGCCAACTTCTGATTGACCATTAAGCTATTGATGAATGTGCCTGTCAGGAGAGAGACAATTAAATCAAATATGAAACAAAGTCGTTTTGACGGGTCGTTTTGATAGAGCAAAGCCATTCTTCCCTCTCCCATTAGTCAGGTTTTTATATAATGAATTTGCCTTAACTGACCTGAGATTTTTTTTTCCCCTGGCTGGCTTAAAAGTGCAAAAAAAAAAAGTTAGTGAACAGGTTGCTTTAAAAAAATAAATAAATAAAAATAGATAAATACTAACCAAACTAAACTAACAGCGCATTTGAGGAACTCATCACATGGGCAGGGTGGGACAGTAAAGAAAAGCCCCAGAGTTCAAGATCAAGTGTAAAGATGGAACCACACATGTTTCACTGGATGGAGGCAGAGATACCTTAGGGGGAAAAAATGTACCCGAAAAGGAAAGAAAGAAAAGAAAAGAAAAGAGAAAAAAAAAACGCAGACTGGAAGAAACCCAAGACATTCCTAGGACCCATCTTTGTAAAGGATGCCTCCAAAGTTTTAGAGTTTATTTTTGGGTAGATAAGCTCACTGCTAAACCCTGGAATTTAAAGGAGGAGGTGGGATGAGCAGCAGGCAGCATCAGTGAGGAGGTGAGCTCTCTTGTTTGGGATCTTCCAAACTTTCTAAATTTGGGTAACACTGACTACAGAGGAAAGCACGCTTTCTGTCCTGTGCACCGAACCAAGTTTAATCCCTCCCTAAGGTGTCACTGACTTGACAGGCCAGCACACTTCTGGGAGGAGTCGCCTACTGGTTCCTTCTCTGTGACCCCGGTTAAAGAGACCGACCAAAGGCCAGAGTGCATCTGAGTTGGGAGCCAAGCTGATCTGTATCTGAGAGTCATCACTGCCCACGGCAGTCACCACCAGCTAGGGTACCGCCACCACCAACCTGGATACCACCAGCCCAGCGCGCAGAGTCTTGCCTCGGCCCTCCCCTCTTCTATCAAAAGAGAAGAGAAAGGAAAGAAGACTATAAAGAAAAGGACTCTTAAGTTACCCTCCCCTCCAGGCGGCATCTGAGCCTTTGCACGTCTGAGTGTTATTCCCATCAAAATACACCACGTCCATATGTGGCCCTCTCTCCCCGGCAAGCCGCCCCCAAATCCCTGAAGTTGCACTAACAGGGCCCTCCTGACGTCACGGAGAGCTTGGCCTCACTACCGCGAGTGATTTATTGATGTTTATTGGGAATGAATAGATCAAAGGCACAGGCATGACGGGCGATCAATCAGTCATCAAATCAAGGGTGGCAACCGGCCAGAAACCCTTCCTCCAGCCAACGTGCCCCCCGAAACCGACATTATTGCAAAATAATGTTGTGTGTGTGTGTGTGTGTGTGTGTGTGTGTGTGGATTTTGTTTTGTTTTAAATGATGATTCTCTTTTCCAGAAGGAAGGGGGGGGGGAATCAGTTCAGACCTAACAGGAGTTGACGTTCCTGGCGGAAAAAGAGGGGTGGTGGTGGGTATTCAGATATATCCCAGAACTAAGTGCTACAAGAGGTTAGAGAACAGCAGCCCCGGAAAGAGAGGGGGGGTGGGTAAGAAGACACTGAAGAGAGCAAGGAAATGTCAGCATCCAACACTGACCTGACAGTCATCTGACAATACGCAGACCCTGTGCGCTCTGGTTTTTCCACCGCTGTACCCGGTTTGGGCCCAATAAACGAAGAAATCAATCGAATTAGCAGTAAGGTGGCCAGAGGGGGGATAGGCTAGCTCACTCGCTCGCTTTAGCTCCCGTCCGAGTGGGCACCGGGTAGTACCCAGGACAACACGGAAGGTGTCCTGGAGAACTCAGGTGACCCCGCCCGCCGCCCTCACCCCACCACCACCACCACTACCACCACTACCGAAAAACACGGGTTGGATGGAGAGCGCCTTTCCCACCCTGCTGCAAGCCCGAGCCGCGGAGGCGAGGTAGGGGACAGACCTAACCCGGCTCGGTCGGTCGTCCCCGGGAGGGTTGTGCAAAAGCGGGTCTCGCGCGCGCGGGGAGAGAGGCAGAGAGAGAGAGAGAGAGTGAGAGAGAGTGAAAGAGAGAGAGAGACAGAGAGAGAGAGAGAGAGAGAGAGAGAGAGAGAGAGAGAGAGAGAGAGAGAGAGAGAGAGAGACAGAGACAGAGAGAGAGAGAGAGAGACAGAGAGAGAGCATAGTAGTGGGGCAGCCAGGAGGGGGGGCGCGCGCGCGCACACCCCGGGGCAGGAAAGCGGCGAGCCAGCCAGCCGAGCGGGCTCCCGGAGTTACTCTGCGCCCGCAGAGAGAGAGAGAGAGAGAGAGAGGAGAGGAGAGAGGGAAGAGGAAAAAAAAGGAGAGGAGTGCGGCGAGCAGCGCCGGGGACCCACCCCCCCTTCTCCCCCGGCAGCCCGGAGGCGCGGCGCGAGCAGAGGAAGAGGAGGCGGCGGACCGGAGGAAGGAAGGGGAAGCCGCTCGTACCTGCTGCGCGCCGGGGCGCCTGCTGCTTCCTCCTCGGCATGATGCTTCTCCCGCGACTGCCGCCGCCGCCGCCGCCGCCGCCGCCGCCGCCGCTGCCGGGCTGAGCCGAGGGAGGGAGGGGAGGGAGGGAGGGAGGGAGGGGCGGCGGGGAGGGGGGCGAGGCGGGCCTGCCTGCTCGCAGCCTTCCCACCCCCCCCTGGAGAGCGGCCGCCCGCAGGATGCTGCTGCTGCGCCCCGGCTCTCCGCGTCCCCCCCCCCCTCCAACCTCGCTGCGCTCCGCCGCGATCCCCGAACGTGCGGAGGGAAGGAGGGCGGGCGCGAGGAAGGAGGAGCGCAGTGGGGGGAGGAGGAGGAGGAGGAGGAGGCAGAGGAGGAGGAGGAGGAGGACCACGCCGCCGGCGGAATGGGAAGTTTGACAAATCGCTCCAGAGGTCCAAGGAGGAGGAGGGGGCGGGGAGGAGCGATCGCCCTCTCTCTCTCTCTCCCCACCCCCCCACACCCCGTCCCCCTAGACGAGGTGCGCGGGGTTCGGGGCTAAGGGGGGGCGGGGTGGGGCGGGGAGAGAGGGAGGAGAAGGCGGGCAGAGGGATGAGGAGGAGGAGGAGAAGGAGGAGCCCGGGAGCGACCCCGGCGGGTCCAGCCCCGCTTCCCGCCCCCGGGCAGGGAGGTCAAGGCATCCGGGGGGTGGAGGTGTAGAGGGGGGGTTCGGGGTGGGGTGTGGGGGGCGCAGCCGCCACTGCGGCCCCGGGGGCTCAGCGCCGGTCCAGTCTTCTGCCCGCGGCGCACGGCGGCTGGAGCGGCGGCGTCGGCAACAGGCAAGCTTAAAGGAAAAGGAGATGATCGTGTCACTCGCCCTGCCCGCGGGGGCGCCCCCCAGCTCCCGGCCCCCCGATATCCCGCCTAGGATTCCCTCCTCCCCGCCGCCCAAGTCCAGGCACCCAGAGACCCGGCCCTCTGCCTCCGCCCCGTGCGCTCACGCAGGGGCGCGGGTCCCCCGCGCAGCCGAGCCGGTCCCGCGGGGAGCCCACAGCGCCCCCCCACCGCCCCTGCCCATCCCTCCTTTCCCCACCCCGGGGCTCATCCCGTGGCCCCTCCCGGAGGCCCTCACTCCGATCCACTCGCCGCGCGCGTGCAAAGCCTGGGAGCGCTCCCCGGCTCGGGATGGTTACCCCCTCTTTGCAAAGATCCCAGGGCCCGGAGTCCCACCACCACCACCACCCCGGGTCACACCAGAGAGAGGAGGAGGCGCGGGGTACCGTGGGTGCGGGTCCTGGAGCTCTTCTCCTGGGACCCACCGTGGCTACCTCCCTCTGTGTGTCTGGTTTTCTTTTCCCCCCCCTTAGGCAAACTTTCCCAGGCGCGTTTCGGGGGTGAGCGTGGGAGGGGGGAGGGGACGCACCTCCAAGTTTCCTTTACTGACTTTGGGACTATCTCCAGTCTCAGCACCCCGCGTCTTGCCCCCTGGGGCAACTGGCCGCGCACCCCCCCCCACACCCGTGGTGATGGCGGTTCCAAGGTGGCGGGACGGGGTGGGGGCGGCAGGAGAAGCCCAGGTCTGGGTGCGTCTCGGACAGGAGGGCCGCCCCTAGCCGCGCCCGGCTCAGGGGCAGTTCTGGGCGAAGGGGGTTGATTATTGATCGGGTTGATTGGGTTGCGAGAGGATCCAGGAGGGACCCGGCCGATGCGCCCAGAGAAAGAGGCAGCTGGCTGGTTGCGGGGTTGCGTTGGCGACAGGGCCACGGAAGCTCACTTACTCTGGCGGCGAGGGCGCCGGCGGGCTGGGATAATTCACGCGGGCGACCCTCGGGCGGTGGTGACGGTGGAGCGGCAGCCAGAGCCCGGGCGGCGGCGCATCGATGCGCTGCGGGCTCGATTGCGTCTCCCTGGGCCAGCTCTTAGGCCGAGAATGGGGCGGCCGCGGCGCAGCGGGGCTCCGGGGCGCTGCTGGGCGGTTGTGGCTAAAGGTGGCCTCTGGGCCCCCAGGTCCCCGGAGACGCACTGTGTCTGGGGGCCCTGGCATCCATTGGAGCCCCCCGAGGCCCACAGTCCACCCTAGGGCCCGCGCCCTGCGCCCCAGGACTAGCCGCAGCCTGAGCGCACTGGAAGCTGCAAACCCTGGCTGGCCTTCCTTCCTTGCTTTCTTCTTCTTCTTTTTCTTTCTTTCTCCCCTTATTATTTTAAACTTATTCTTCTCTCCCCTCTTTTTCAACCCTGTTTCTTTTTCCACGCTCTCTTGTGGTTGTTCTTCAAGTTTTGAAAGTTCACCAGCGTGCTTTCTTTTTCTTGTAGACCTGGAGACCCAAGATCTCACCCTACCGGTAAGATCAAAAGTCTCCGGCGGGCTTGGGCTGGGTCCAGACGCCTGCCTGAATGCAGATGTGTGGCTGATGTCCTCCGGGGCTGTGCAGCCCGCTGCAGCGCCTAGGCGCTCTGCGAGCTAACCCGGTGCCAAGATCCCGGGTGGAGCCGAAAGGCCGGAGACGGCTTGAGGCCGGGCTCCCGGGCTGCCTGCGTGTGTGTGTGTGTGTGTGTGTGTGTGTGTGTGTGTGTGTGTGTGTGTGTGTGTGTGTCGTACCCGTGGGTGGGCACACCCGAGCCGCTTGGTGCCAGTGGCCGCAGAAGCCGAAGCGGCGTCTCCTCTAGGCCGAGGAGACGCGGCCCCAGGGCGCGGGTAACGCTTCTTGCGAGCGAGGGATCGGTGGTGAGTCGAGTCGGCTGGCCCTGCCGTTGGCCTCACGGGTTCAGGTGGCTACGGGACCCCGCTGGCCTGGACCAGGGTCGTTGCCGCTGGAAGTCAGACCCCGAAGGTCCCCAGCTCACGTTCCAAGCATGGGGCACCCATTTGGGCACGCCGGCGGCGACACGCTTACAGTGCTGGGCAAAGCGCTCACAGGGAGTTCGCCCAAAGGATGCTTCCCTCTCCCTTTCCTTCTCTTTGCTGCTCTCTCAACCTTCGTTCCCTTGCCGCGAACCCCCTCTCCGGTGGCCTAAGGGCCGGTCCTCTTGTTGCCTGCGGGCACCCCTGCTCGCCAGTGCCTTTCCCTCCCTGCTCAGGCGCGGAGCTCTGTGTGATCCGCCCTAACATCTGTCCGTCCAACCATTGGCGCATCCATCAGTGTCAATGGGCTGCACATTGCAGCGACAGCCTGTCACGCACAAGTCGGGCTGTGCGGTGTGCACACTATGACCACACTGCCTTGCCCGGTGGGGCACTCAAACAGACCCGGCCGGCTTGGCACTGCTTGGGTTCCTGATTTCTGCTTGAGTTCTTTTAGCTACAAGCACCTATTCACCCCTAATTTGAGGATTCCAACACGTGCATAGGTTTTTCAAGTCATTCTAGAGACGGAACTGAGGAAAGCGGGCAAGGTCAACCTAGTCCTTATATTTCACTAGGATTTATTTTCTTTTCTGTGGTAGGGCTGGGTGTAACTAAAAGAGAACCCCCCCAATCGCACAAAATAGACCGTGAAACTACCTGAATGCAGGACCTTAAGTCCCTCAACCTGGTCTAGGCTGTGGAGTTCGCCCGCTGCACTTAGCAAGATTTCAAGTGGGGGAAAAAAAACTTTGCATAATCGGGGCTGACTGGGCTTCCCAGGGCTGACTGGAGAAATGTGGACCGATGGACTCTCAGTGAAAAGGAAGGATTCCATTTAGGGAGAAATGGTGTCTAGGTAGCAGTAGGTCTGTAATTCACTTATTACAAAAAAAGGGGGGGGCAGAACCTTGAGAAACCAGTGCTTGCGGATAGCCCCTGGCTTTCTGAGCTCCAGTTTTGGCTTCTTTCCGTTCTCGCTCCTTCTGCAACTACCCAGATGGTAAACACACACACACACACACACACACACACACACACACACACACACAGGTGTCCCTGATGAGTCTGACCCTCCCCAAGGCCTTCTGTTTGCTCTGAGAAGCTCAGGGGAAGGGTATATGCAGGTTCCTACCCCTATGACATCTGAATGAAGTCTACCCGGCATTTGACCTGACTTTATTATTGTTGTAAATATTTCTGTCGACTGCCCCGCCGGCAAGCAACCCTTTCGGCGGCACTTAGGGAACTCCGAAGGGAAAAGAGCTGGGTCCGAGCAAGCGCCAAGGTTCCTTTGGGTTCTGGAAAAGGCCAGGAAGGTTTGGGCAGGCACGCTGGGGGAAAGTTGCCTGTGCTTCAGGATCTGGGCTCCACACACAGCCGTTCAGCTGTTTACACACTCTGCTAGAGGGCAGAAAACCCATTCATGGTGGAGGAGATAGAATTCTGTAAAGGATATACTATGTAGAAACCCCTTACCCCACTCTTCATAGAAACTCGGTTACCCTTTAAAGGCAAAGACAGGCTTTCCTTCTCTGTACAAGTACCTTGGAACCTCTGGTCCACTTTGAATTGTGCTGGGCTATAAATGTCTAAGTCAGATGCTTCTACCTGGAGGTGCTGCATTTCCGGGAATAATCTCTTAAGCCCCTGAAATAGAAGGAGGAAGAAAGAATTGAAGGAAATTAAAACGACTCACCTAAACACCCAGGGGCTAAAGCCCATGACAGACACTGTGAGCTCTGGTCAGGAGATTCGCTTTGAAATCAGGTGGTCATATTGTTAGCTCTTGGCATTCCCTATAGCCAAGAAGGGGATCCTGACCCAAGACTGCATCTCACACTCGGTGGAAACGGGGTGACCCACTGTCTTCAGATGGGGGAACAGTCTGCAGAAACCTCCAGAGAGAGTTGTCTGGGGCAAGGGTTAGACATCCTACCCAGCTTTTCCAGTTTTGGACACTAGGTTTCCATTCCTGGTACCTTTCCAATCATAGTCTCATCCATCTTGACTAGCCTGAGCCCCCCAAGGGTAGGGCATTGCCAAGAAGCATTTGGAGGAGCAAGGGACTGACCCCCCCCCAGCACAATATACTGTTTACAAATGGAAAGTAGTAGCTTGACCACTGCCTGGAGGCAGCCAAGTTTGTGTTCTGGGTGGCAACTAAGGGCAGTTAGATGACAGCCCTCCTGGTCCAAGGAAGGCTGGGGTATGTCTTCAGTTGAATGCCCACCAAGAGGAAGGAGCTGTCCTAAATGCCACCATGCCAGGACAAGGACCTAGGGTTGGCTGGCATCCCCAAGATACCTAGGACCTAAACTCCTACCTCAGAAAGGGGGTACCTGCTGGGTCCATGAAAGTGTCACCTTGAAGGGCAAGGACTCTGGGAGCCTTTAGTGATGGCAAGGGCTACAACCCCCAGGTGGGCCTTGACAGGGAGTCCTAGCCCTGGATCCTCTCCAGCCTGAAGTGGTTGGGAAATGTCCTGGACCTGCTTTATCCCCGTGGCTTTTGTGGGTTAGGCAGAGACTGGGAAATGCCATAGGTCCTGAGACTCCTCCTACTTTCACTATTTGCACACTTCATTCAGGAATTGGGCTTTTAGTTGCTACTAAAGCTGGAGGTTAGGTAGGGCCTGAGCCAGGCCCTCCATGCAGGCGGGTAACTTGTTGGCAAAAGGTGCTTTTACACTGGCAGTGAAGTTTTGTTTCTCTTCTTTTCCCCGGTAGCTGGTAGCTTTGTTTGAAAAAACCAGATGTTTTGTCTGTGAGTTCTCCCAAGAACTTTTACAGTTGGAACGTGGAATAAACCTTTGAAAGTCGGGGCAGTATATTAATGTTGCTTCTGTGGGGCTTGTGGAGAGAGCCGTGTCAGATGCACAGGGGTGGAGGGGGGAACGATCTTAGAAGAAAAGGAAGAGGGTGGTTTTATGTAAAATCAAGAGTTAGTTTGGGGAGGGTGAAGCACTATCCAGATCCAACACACCGGACTCACACAATCAGGCACACACACACACACACACACACACACACACATACACACACACACCACCCCCATCATGGTGTGGTGTCTAAATTTCTCAAGTCTCGGGACTTGGAGGTGAAGGCTCAACGTTGCCTACGTGGTCAGTGTGAGTCTGCAGGTGTTGAGTGAGCGTCCTTCTCCTGCAGCCTTTGATGCTGGGAATCAGTCAGGATGCGGATGGGGCGGGTTGGAAGGTAGTTGACCAGAGTAGGGAGGACTTTGTTTAGGAATCTCAGGGAGGCAGCCTTCCCCCCTTCCCACCCCAAGAAATTTCCCCTTCTAGTAGCTTCATTCCCCCACGCCCCATCCCAGATTCCCAGGCAGTTAGCAATGCGTCTAAAGAAAAGTAAAACAAAAACTAAACCTAATTTAACAGAGGGGCAGAAGATGAAAAATTCGGGGTGGGATAGGGTCTGGACCTAAGCTAGGCAGCCTAGTTATCCATTGTGCCCGGTAGGGGTGGGGGTGGGGAGTTGATTCCTTCTCTCCATCCCCCCCCCCCACACAGTCTTTCCTGCATACTCAGCGGGGCATTTTCAAATACCTCCGTTTTCTCCCCGAAATGCTTTTTTTCATTCGTTTACCGAAGTTTCAGAAAACTTTTTGGAGACCGAAGATCAAATAAAGAAAACAGAAAGTCTTAGTATTTCGGTCTGAAGAGGACGGGACCCGATTAAACCCATTTAAAGAGCACAGTCGCCAGTGAAATACCCTTTAGTCAGATCCCACCTGCGGATTGGGGGGGCCCTAAGGAGGATTTCTCCTTAGGGCTCCCAGTCCTACATTCTCTCCAACTCCACTGGGTGAAATAGATATTTAGAAACCATTTGGACATCTTAAACACAAACAAGACCCGTGTTCAAGATAGCCATCGCCAGTCGAGGTGGGACTCGCTCCTGGCTAGGAGTGGGGATAGCGCTTTGTGGATGGGGATGCGGAAGATGCCCACCTGCTCCCGCGCGGCGGCGGCGAGCGCTCGCAGATGTTAGTGACTCGATGCTGGTCAGAACCCCCTCTCCCATCCCCACCCCCGCCCGGCTCTTCGAATAAAGGAGGTAGAGGTCCCAGCAGTCAAAACACCGGGTCATCGAGGAACCAAACAGCCACCTTCCTTACCAAATGGTCTCAGCAACTGGCCAGGGCATTCGCCAAACCCCCACGAGGGATCTCGTTCCCTTTCCTCTCTTCCTGGGGCGCTGCTTGTGCTTTCTAATTCGCGATGGTGTTTGGCTGTTTCCACTTCCCAAACGGGGAAGACCGAACACAGCACTGAATAGGTAAAGAGGGGCGAGAGGCTCTATTCTTTTCTCTTGGCTATGTCTTGAATACTTGATAAATACCACTTGTAGTTGGACGATAGGGGGCCAGGGGGTCAGATTATGTAATATTCAAGTGGTGTCTGGCCCCCAGGGGCTCTTCTGTCTTAGAAGATCTAAAGATCCACAGAAGTCCTTACTAGATTTTTGTCTTTGCTGCAGCGTGTCTTCCGTCGCTTGTATTCCCCCCCATGTTGTTCTCTCTCTTTTTTAAAAGAGTCTCTCTCCTTGACCGTCAAAGAATTTTTTTAGGCTATCCATTTAGGATCTATGCGTTCTTCTCCTAGGTCAAAGCAGAGCTGTCACCACCCAGTGCACCAGTTCTGAGGGAACGAACCAGTTTGTGAGGTTGGTAGCTTTTGGGGTGGGTGGGTGGCTGGGGCCACGAGGGGAAGGTCAGACAACTGGTCGACACCTGGTATAAAATAAAAAGAACATGTTAAGAAGTTTCAAAGCTGCCAATAAAACCCTTTAAGTGGCTTGTGATGCAGTGCCTGAAGTTGCTGCGATGGCATTGGTAAATGACTCTAATGCCCAAAGAAAAACATTACAAATGCCGCTGTCTGCGCCACCAATCGGGCGCCGCTCTCCAGCGCGGGCGGTGGCTCCTCTCTGGCGCGGAGGGCACCCGCATTTGCATGATAAATTGACCAGACTGGCGGCAGCCAATGAAATATTCAAATTAGGCGTGCGTGCGGGGGTGGGAGTATGGTGAAGTCCCTGGGGCTCCCCCTTTGAGCAGGAGGCAGAAGCTGGCCTTGCCACCTCTCCTTTAGCGCCCTCCAGAGGAGGGACAAACGTGGCCCTTCTGAGACAGGAGGGTGGGAAGGTCTGAAGGAAGGGAGGTGGCACTCTCTACAGGTGCTCTTGGGCACAGAAAGGCTTTGGGGCTGGCCTAGAGGGTTAGGAATGCCACAGAGCCTCTGTCTCTCCTTCACTTACATCAGTAGAAGGATTGCAGAAACTCTCAAGGAATTAGGCCGACCGGACCCTGGATCCTTTCTAATAGTATGCTTACTATGTTGGTCATCTCAGACCACTGCAGACTCCCCGGTACCAAAATTCTGGAGCAGACACGTCTAACCTGCCAGGAGGGGAGGGTTCCATAGCAACAGGCCGAGAAGGTAGCCCAGTTTGGAGCTGTGTCAGACCCTCAGGTTTCACCAAGCCTGGGATTTCAACTGTGTGGCCATGGCTGCCAGAGCTTTTGCTCCTGGGAATGGAGGTGCAGACTCCGGACAGACCGGATGCTGGCAGGAGCCTCAGCAGGAGCACCCAGGCTCAAGGCAGGCCCTATGTGTGTACAAAGGGGAACATGTAAATGTCTAGTCAGCACATAGACACCCAGCAGGGGCATATGGGAGAGAGCATGAAGGGAACCAGCTTTTAAATAGGACTGCCGTTGATGTCCAAGGAGTATTTGACTTCCCAGGCACATGGCAAGTCAGCTGTCTGGTCTGGCCCTGGCTTGGAAGACTTGGCTCAGTACAGACTAACGTAAGGGGACCTCTCTCTTCAGCATCTTCCTTTTCTGCTGTGGAGTGATGAGCAGATGAGCACTTTATCCCCTCCCCCACTCATAAGGTTTAGCGATCCCCCCCCCCACCACCACCAGTTGCCCTGGACAGCCCTTGCTTAATCCCCAGCACTTTCCCAGGTTCACAAGTGGGTGACGTGAACCCCCTTCAAAAACACTCCCCTAAACATGCTCAGCAGAAACCAGCTGTCCTCCTGGGTCATCAACCAAAAAGTCTATCGGAGGGCAGGAGCCTAGCAGACCCTGGTCCAGGGCTAGATCAGGAATTGTAAGGACACCAAGCAATAAGCTTGGCTTGCCATCTTACAGTTTTGCAATCCTGGCACCACCGGAAGGTGGGAGGGTTGAGAGTTGGGACTAGCAAGGGCTGTAGGGTATGTAGTGAGACTGTCTCCAACCAACAAAAGCCCAAGGAAAAATAGGAGTGACCAGTACAAATCTGGGAGAATCAGCTTTGATTTTGGATCACATGGCAGGTTTTACCTATGTCCTCAAAGTACAGTGTCCAACGAGAGGGCATTGCTGCATGGTCCGCTCTGGTCACTTAGGGTTTTAAGGAGTCTTGGGCCTGGTGGGAATGAGTAACGTTAATAGCTGGTAGCAAAGCTTGGTTCAAATACCAAATGGGCATTTTTCTCTTAACCGCTAGAGTGTATGCTCGGGGATAGGACGCCCGCAAGGGAAGGTCTAGGGAAAAAAAAGTATCCCTATAGCCATGTCTCAGGAAGTCCTTCCTCAGTCATCCTCAGGCCTCAGCTATGGGTCAGGAAAGAGAAGGCTTGTTGCTGGGTCTTGATCACCCTCCAGCGCAGAAGCTTGTCATGCAATCCCTTCCATAAATGCAAGCAGCTAAGTGGAAAGGTAGGAAACACAGAGGGTGGCTCTCCAGCCCAGCCCAGCCCAGCCCAGAGTCTTACCTCTCCTGAACCATTTACAGTGAACGGTTTCTCTTAGAAGGCACTGTGCATGCAGAAGGCCTGATCTGCACTTATATGCACGTGCACCTGTTCCTGGCACTCGAGTTCAAGCTTTGGTATTAACGATGGGAGGCTGGGTGTGTGGTCTACAACTTGCCCAACAACAACAGCAGCTCTCTCTCTCTCTCTCTCTCTCTCTACCTAAAGAATCTGGGACCCAAGGAGGAAGATTCCCTGATCTAAGTGGAGGATACTCACAAGCTGGGAGCTTTTGAGGTCACCACTGGATGGGAGAGAGGCTCAGGGGCTCCCCAGGGGGGCATGCATGCCACTAGCCCCGAAAAGCCAGCATGAGAGCTACAAGTCACAGGGTCAGACCTCCCAGACAGACAAAGGATGCAAGCTTGATTGTGGAGCAGGGGATGGGAGGCACAGGCTTCAGGGAAGACTGGGCATTTGCTGGCCTGATAAGGAGGCTCTCTCAGACCTTTCTAGGCATTCATTAGAGGAAGTGCTTTGCTAAGGATCCACGATGATATTTCTATTTTCCCTCTTAGCGGCGAATGGAATCCGCACCATCCAGGTCAGATGGAAAATAGAAGCTGGGAAAATTTGACACTCTCATTGATCTGCTCTCCTCGAGAGAGAGAGTATGGCTTCAAGATTGCAATTAGGAGCCAGCCTGCTAAGGGGTCCCTCTCTGAGCTCAGGTGCGGCACTGATCATGGGTTGCAAGCCCTGCCCCTTGTCTGCTGAGGAAGAGGAGGCTCTTCATTCATGGATCCAAGCTGGAGCTGAACCTGCCGAACCTCCCAAAGATCACCTGGCGCTTTACTCTCATTTTTGGTGAGAGCAGATGGCAATTTTCCCAGTGTTTTAAAAGTATTAACTTCCTTTCAAACATTCTTTAACCTTTAATGTTTTGTAACTTGATGAAAAGGTCACTTTGTTCTGAGGATGCAGCTGTCCCTTAATTATTCAGCTATAGGTGAATTCCACCCAAATCCTGAACTTTTCTTTTTTTCCTTTTCTTTTCTTTTTTCCTGGGGGTGGTGGTGGTGGTGGTGTGGGCAGTTACCGAGAACGAATCCAGGGCCTTGTGCACGCTAGGCAGGTGCTCTACAGCGAAACTACCCTTGATTCACACGCGCGCACACAAACACACATACAGGCAGGCACGTCTGGAGAGATGGCTCAGTGGTTAAGAGCACTGACCTGACCTTTCTTCCTGGGGACCTGGGTTTATTTTCCAGCACTCACATGGCAGCTCATAATCATCTGTAACTCCGGGTCCAGAGGATCTAATGCCGTCTCTGATCTCCTTGGGCACCAGGGACTCAAATGGCGCACAGACATACATGTGGGCAAAACATCCATGTACATGAAATTAAAAGAATTATTGCATTTGTTACTTATTTATTTATTTAGAGAGAGAGAGAGAGAGAGAATGTGTGTGTGTGTGTGTGTGTGTGTGTGTTTACATACCATGGAGATTGGAGGGCAACTTGTAGGAAACTGTTGTCTCCTTTTGTTGTGTTAGTCCAGGACTAAACTAAGATTATCAGGTGTGGCAGCAAGCACCTTAACAGACTGAGCCACCTCACCAGTCCCTCATCCGGCCCCTTAGTATTTAATGGGATCCAAGCTGTGTGTACACATGTAATACAGACCAGTATCTTCCCATGAAATCTGCACGTGTGTGGGTGTGGGTGTGTTCCTATTTCTTTTTATATGATTACATTTTGCACATGTGTGTTTATGTATGCTTGTGGTTTCAGGTACTGTATAGTTGCATTTCTTTATATTTATATTCATATAATTTTATGCAGGGACTTTGGTTGGCTGGATACTCAGACTCCTTCAGTATTCCTACGGATCTTGTTTATAGGAAAATAGACATAGGACTTACTTGTGTGGATGATGAGTTTCCCTAAACATTTGATGGCCACTATTTATTAGAAGTGTTCCTTGCTTTTAAAAAACATTTAGACAATGTCCAAACCAGGTCTCACTATGTAGCCCAGAATGGCCTAGAGCTTGCCATACGTGTCCAGCCATGACACACGATGTCATCTGCAAAGCTTATGCCTGAGAACCCACACATTCTAGTTCCACACAGGAAAACAGGAATTGAGAAACAAATCTCATAATGTTTTAAGTAAGTTCACAGTTGTGTTGGGGCAGCCGTGATTCATTGCCCAGCTGTGATCTGTTCCAGGGCAGACACACCCTGGAGACCTAGAGACACAGTCTGGCCCCAAGAGCTGTCATTAGAGCTGAGCACCGCTGTGTGCCCTGGTACATAGACGCCTCAGCTTCTCAGCATCCGGCAACCCCCTCGGCTTCACTTTTGCCTTTCATGGCTGATGTATTCTTGCAAACAGAGGCCCAAGTGTGTTAGACTTATATTTAAAGTAAAGAGTGAGCTAGTGGGTTCGGATGCAGGGCTTTTTCTACGTGGAAGATGCACAAAACTCATGTTCAGCCCCTGCAGAATGTGTTCACTTGTTCAGGAGGTGATGGGTGTGGCTCCTTGAACCTCTTCTCCTCTGAGACTTTTAGATGAGAAATCTCCAGGCACAGAGGAACTGTTGGACCCTGGCACTCACCTTAAGTCTTTGTAGACTTGTATAAGAATAAATCTGCTCGAAGCCACGTACTAAATCACGACGAGCACTCTGTAAGATTAACATTCATTAAGTGCGAGAGACAGAATTGATACTTAACTTAAAAGCGCATACCTTTAAGAGGTCTCTGGATGCAGGGAAGTCAAGGGATAGCAGAGACATGGATGGAGAAGCAGCTCGGTGGTCTCTCCTGGAACACATCGTCTCAGGGCTCATCGCCTAGAATGGGTTCTTGCACGCTCCTGACTGCTGGATGCGTTTCTGCATTTCTTCGGCTCATTGCTGACTTCCTGTATCCATGTGCGAGACACTTCACAAATGCACAGGAGCAAGGGGAGTTTTTAAAACATTCTCCCAGCACTGGGGAAGCTGAGGCAGGAGGATTGTGAGTCCAAAGACAGCCTGACACACATAGTCACACACACACACGTTTATATATAGTTAAAGAAAAAGAATATGTAGGATTATTTAGTCATATGCAAATATAATTAAGCTAAATAAATAAGAAATAAAACTATTCAGTTCTCAGACAGTAGTCACAGAATTCAACCAGGTGAGGCAGGAGAGGGTTCCAAGTTTGAAACCAGCTTGAGCTACCTTGCAAAACTCTGTCTCGGTGCTGTGGGGGAAGACGTTTTAAACAACAATGAGAACTTGCTGTAGCCAGGGTTGAAAATCCCCCTGACTACTCCTAACCGAGTTCTCACTTCCTGGAGGGCACCTCTATCCTTCTCCTTGTTGGTTTCCGCACTTAGATAAAAATGAAATGACAATAAACGGCTCATTTTTTTATCATTCCTTTTATTCAGTAGCGTTCTTGAGTATCAGCTATGTGATCACCTATAGCTGATTTGTTTTCAAATTTTATATTATGAATACATTAGGAATTTCTGTTATTTTTCCCTTTCAAGGGGCAATGATTTAAAAAACAAAAATTCCAGCTAGACATCCTACATGTATTCTTGTGATCTCGGAATTCTGTGGTGAGACGATTTGGGGTTCCAGGCTGGCCTGGGCTACATACTTCACAGACCCTGGTCTCTGAAAACGGGGGAATGCAGCCTTCTGTGAGAACACACAGGCCTCAGTGTTGCGTACCTAGCAGAGGGATTGCTGGGCTGCGGAGCGCAAAGTGCCCGACATAGTGTACATTTCTCTCTACGATTTGCAGTAAGCGTGAATGCCGCCTGTCTCTGCTTTGGGGCATTTGGATTCTGAAGTCGGTTCAGACCCTCTCCTTGTCTTCTGCTAGATACATGCTTTGTGTTATTCCTTGTTTTTTGTTTTGTTTTCCTTTTCTTCTTTTGGCAATGACGTGGAGGGGACGGGGCGGAGTCAGGGCCGTAACTACCGTAACTGCAGTACATGGAAAGGTTTCTGCTCAGCTAGACTATATATATACATATACATATTTATATATACATATATATACATCAGCTAGCCTTCCATACACACACACATACACACACACACACATGCACATATATATGCATGTATGTATATATGTATGTATGTATATGTATATGTATTTGTATTTGTATATGTATATATAGTAATTATTATCTCTTTGAGACGTCCAGAAAGTATGTTTTGATCACACTCATCCCATCTCCTCCCCAGGCCCACTCGCCATCTCATGTCCACCAAACTTCGCATTTTCACATCTTTTTAAACCTATCCGGGCCCCTTAGCGCCGTCTGTGTGCCCTTAGGTGTGCGGCCATCCATCCGCAGGAACGGTAAACCTACGAGGGGTCGCAGCCTTGAAGAAAGCTAACTCTGCCTTTCCCGGTAGTTGTTAACTGCCAGTAGCTCCTCGGCTAAAGGTGAGGCTTCAAGCTCACCTTTCCAGGAAAACCCACGACTGTCCAGTTCATCGTAAGTTGGGTTGGACTGTGGACCACTTCAGGGACACAGCAGGAGGAGGTCCCAGGGGGCAACCCTAGGGTTCGCCAATCTACACATACCCCAGCTCCCCGGGGCATAAGGAGACAATACCTCATGGTAGATCCCAGGTCCTGGCTCAGCCTCATGGGTAGAAATCCAGCTTCTTCCTGGTTCTGACAAACCCTAAAGTCCTATTACCATCGCAAGCAAGGTTTGGATCATGCCAGGCCTGGTAGTGCACGCTGCAGTCCTAGAACTCCAGAAGCATGAGACAGGAGGACTGCAGGTTCAAGGCCAGTCTGAGCTACGTGGTGAAACCCCGTGTCAAATCTCCCACAAGACCAATATTTCTTTGCCTCACCTTTTATAGTCAGACTGTCTATCCACCACCTGTCCCTACCTCCCAGTCATTCAGGACAGAGTCCCCATCCACCCGCACCACTGAGAGGAACCATGGGTCATCATGTTTCATAGTTTGTCCCGAAGCATAGATAGCATGAATAGATGAAGTTACACATGGCGTCACATTGGGAGTCTGCTTCCTATGCTGACACAAGGCGCCTTGAGACTGGCCCATGCTGAACCCATAAGCTGTTCCGTATCGCTGCTGAGATGCATTCTTTGTGTGGTTGTAGCAGAGCCAGTCAGGGACCATTGTGAGTTAGGCTGCTGTGAACATGCAGGTACCGGTTCATTGTAACATAACTTCTCATTTCTTCTGTGTGAGTCTATATGGCTAAGGACACATTTAGCTGTACAAGGAGTCACCAAATTAGGCTAGGGTGTAGCAACACTTGCCTCTAATCTCGCCATCGAGGAGGCAGAAGTAGGCATATTTCTCTGAGTTCGAGGCCAGCCAGGGCTACACAGTGAGAGAGAGACATAGTCTTAAAAAAAGATAGGGAGAGCTGAAGAGATGCCTCGGCTGACAAGGACACTTGAGATGCCTCGGCTGACAAGGACACTTGCTGCTGTTGCAGAGGGCTTGAGTTTAGCTCCCAGCATGCACGGGGCAGCTCTCTATCTTTGGAATCCAAACACTCCATGGGTAACAGGCACCAGATATTCGACACACATTCAGACAAAACACTGGTAGATGTAAAAAAATAATTAAAATATTTTTTAAATAAAAGACAGGAAAGAAACCTACCAAATGGCCTTTGCTGGGATGATGCTAGGGTCTTCCACGTACTACAGATCTACCATGGAGCTACCTCACCGGCCGTGCCCAAAACGTTTCCTCTTCTTGTGCAGTGCTGGGGATTGGACACAAGCGTGGACATTGAGGGCTCTACCAGGAAGCTGCCGCCTCAGCCTTACCCAGTGGCATTCTTTATTCGTGCATTTACCCGTGTGCATGCATGCCACACACATGCGCATGTGCCTGTAGAGCTGGAGTCGTGGATCCTCGGGAACCTCCCTCCGCCGGAACTGTAACCAACACACAGGTCTATTGGAAGAGCAGTGTGAGCCCCCAACTGCCGAGCCCTCTCCAGAGTCAGCTGCCACGCTCAGTGGCTTCCAAGGGCTTGACTGCCTGTGTCTCTGTCAGCCACCAAGGCAGAGGTCTGCATGTGCCTGAAGACACTGTACGGGTTGGGAAAGGCGCTTGCTAGAGAGAGGGTTCGGTATGCCAAGGTGGGAGGGGTTGGGAAGAAATAAATCTGAACTCTGCCTGTGTTTAATAAATAAATACATAAATGTATGCAAGTTAAATTCTGAGTGTGACGCAATAGTTAACAAAAAGTACAAGTCCATAACTGTCATAGATTTTTTAAAAGAATTGCACCAGTGCAGCCTGGTGGGATAAAGAGATTGCAGTAAAATATTTATTTAGATAACTAGGTGATTTGTTACCCTCCCCCACACAAATAGTGCGTTTTAATCAGCG